TATGGGAGTAGATACACGTCAAACGTAAAATTCGCGTCCTGAGGGTGGGGCTTTGACTTTGAGATGGAGAACGACGAAGAATGCGCATCAGCGTAACTGTGGACTGGAGAGTCCTAAACTCATCATAAGGTCATAAAGGCTATTTGTTTCGTAGTAGAGCCTGACTTTCCTTTGGCGAATTGTCACAATTGTTTAGGTTCTTCTTTGAGTTCTAGCACCGATATCAGGTCTTGCCAAGTTTTTGTTTATACAGGTAGGTTAGGTAGACAGTTTTTAGTTGTAGGCGTTATGAGTGAAGTTGTCTATTTAACGCTGTTGATGAACCATGAGTTTGTATGTGGTAAAGTGTGGCAAGGTATTGTGTCTGTAATTGGAGTGTTTAGTGATTTGGTTTTATGCTAGGAGTGATACAGTGTGTGATGTTGGAAACGGCAAGGTCTGTAGCATGTTGTACTAGATGTGTCAATTGTTTCCTGTGTGCATCTATTTCTTCTACGCTTTTCTAGGTTCAATACGCTCTATGAAATGATTTGCGTGGACGGATTGGTATTTGTATTGGATTGGCCAAGATGTTGGCAATGATTGGGATATCATCCGAAGATGTTATTGGTCCTGGTTGGAGATGTATATTGAGAAAGGTTCGGTTGTTTTGGATTGCTTGGTATCCTTTCCTTAGTATCATTAGTATGTGTTTCAGATGTAGCAGTCCCAGGCCGCGATGGATGGCCGTCTAATGCTATCGAGCATCCGCCCTCAGTTGTTCCAGCTGAGGCACGATGCTGTTGCTTACTTTTCGCCGCTGGTGGTGGTGCATGGGCGGAAGATCAGTGATTGTGCCTAAGAACATGTCCTGTCGTTTTCTAAAGGTATCCAGGGTGAATTTACCCTCACTTAGATCATTTGGCAGGACGTTAAAGAGCCTCGGCCCTGCCACGGAAAGAGATCCTTCAGGTTAGGGATTGAAATCTGATCGCAGATCTGTTACGTAAAAGGGGAATAGTGCACAGTCTTCACTTCTCTCATTATGGCATGTTTCAATCCTGCAAGTCTCGTTTCCGTAGTTTGGTGCCATTTTGGGTATTATTTCACATGTTTACAGAATGACGTACGTCTACCGTCTCCTCTGCAGTGAGAACAGGCCTAGGCGTTCCAGCCTGCCCCAGAAGACCAGCTCCTTCATCCCGCTGATCCTGTAAGTGAAGGTTCGTTGTTGGTTCCGTTGAATTCATGTTGTTCACTTGAGCCCAGACATATATATGGCAGACTGTAATCCTGTCCAGTTCTGTAATCTGTCCTGTCTGTAAATGGCATCAGTATCCTGGTATCGTACGCGAATGATGATGTTGAGGCGTGGCTCACTGCCATATCTAAATTGGCGATGTGGATGAGGAAGAGTTTAAAGTCGAGTATCGTACCCTGTACTACTCCACTTTTCACCCTCGCCTTGCTCGATTTCGAGCCTTCAACAGTTTGGAAGTTGTAGACCCATACCTAACAATTCACAACTGTTCCCCAGTAGTCTTAGTTTTCTGAAGACTACTCAATTTTCCACTTAGTGAAATACATCACGTCCACCCCAGCCCTCTCCTCCAGTATGACCAGGATTTGGTGTTGATGCTCGAGTAACTGGGGAAAAACAAACGATTTCGTTTAAAACCGTGTTGTCTTCTGTCTCTTGAAAAGGTCAGCTTCCTTCATGTACTGCTCCAACGAGAGCGCAGCCGTGCACCACCAATTTTGTGCACCAATAAGCCCTTAATCGAACGCCTTGGATCTCTCCGGACATCCACCAATCAGCCGTGAGCCACTAGGTTTTGTCCTCCTCCGCACGGCCTAGATATGATTGTCCAGAAGTGTTGAAGGCTACGTTCCGGAAGGCAGGAATCATTGTGGTCCATTACATCCAGGGCAGTGATGGTCTTCCGCTGGCGGCCCGTCAAAATTCACACAAATATAGTGTAATTAAACGACGTTGATGGTTAGACCGGTTATGCGTGATGCTGAAGATATTTAAGAACGAACATCAGTATTTAAAGATTCAGTTGCGTGGTCACATCCTCTTAGGCAAATTTTAGTAGTTACCGCTCAATTTTGCACAACTTGATGAATATGTATCTTCTACATTCTTAAGGCCCGTCCACACGCTCAGTTTTATACAACGATTTGTCTGCGCAGTTCTAATCGTTGCAGTTAAAGCGTTGCGTGTGGATGGGAAAACTGCGCAGTTTTGAAGCCGGCAGGAAAACTGAGCAGTTGCATCGAAATCAGAGCTCCAGAGCATAGATTTCGATTAATTGCGCAGACAAGTCAGAACGTGCAGACACAGTTTTCCGATTCAATTTGCGCTCGGTTTCAATGATTCTGGCAACAATGGCGGACCTTCGTTAATGCTCTCAGGAATTTATCGCTCTTCTATATGAAAGTTTTTCTTGCATTTGGCGAGTAAAATTCAAGGACTATAGTAACAGGGACAAAAAAGGTGGAGACATACAAGGGCTTAGTAGAAAAATTTAAAGAAATCGATGAAAGCGCAAACCGAGAAACAGCTGTAAAACAAGTTGAGGAGCATTTACCGTAAATAATTGGGAATAAATAAAAAAATCGATTCCACCTGGACCTGGAGAAGAAGACATCTACAAGCCATCTCTCTTGTATTTAGATTCCTCGCATTCCCTAAATGATCCAATCTCTTTTTTAACAAGGCACAATGCCGAAATTCATCAAAACGTTCCCTTGTCCATGGCACGTCTCGGACAAATTTACGGCCGGACTTGAGGCCGGTCTCCCCAAATTCGAAAAGCATGGAACATCTCCCAAAGTAATGAACGTAGCTCGATAAAACTTGGTACGCGTGTTTATTAGGACTTAACGGTGATGTTTAGCACGTGAACATTTTTAGAATTTCACCTTCATTCGTGAGTTATATGACGATACGTGCCGAAATTTGCAGTGAGCATGACATTTCTTTTTAACTACTGTACAGATTTGAACGAAAATTTGAATATATAAACCTAACCTCTAAACGGCGATGTTAAGCTCACGACAATTTTTTAGATTAGATAAAGCCGTGTAACTCGCAAACGAAGGCAAAATCGAAAAAAATGTCACGTGCTAAACATCACCGTTAAGTCCTAATGAATACGTGTACCAAGTTTTATCGAGCTACGTTCATTACTTTGGGAGATATTCCATGCTCATCGAATTTGGGGAGACCGGCCGTAAATTTGTCCGATTTTGCAATGATGGGCATGTGATAACATTTACAATGATATCGCTTTTATTATTTATGAGAAGTTTTAGACTTGGTAATATTTTTAATGATATGCATTGGATAATATTTGCTATGATTGAAGTTTGATGATATACTCTTTATATACATGGAGGAAATCCCATAAAATTTTATCTTAATTTAAACAAAAAATAATGACGCCAATGGCTACATTCATTTTTTCACAGTGAGATACCAAGGTAATTTTCCGTTCATAGTGAAACAGATTATCGATTACTAACTTATGAACATCGATTTACAATAAGATTTCGAAAGAAACAGAAAAAATAACAAGAATTCATAATATGAATGACATTGTCGACTGTCGTTAATCGAAAGTTTTTCGTTGATTTTCGAATCGAAAATCAACATGTCGAAAATACGAGGGTTTTCCAACCCAACAGTTTTTTATCCGCCTGGGATAAACTGCGGAAATCAAGAAAATTAGGAGCTGATTTTACAGAATATTTTGCTCTATAGGCATATCTCTGCATAGACACATGAAAAGCGATTTCGCGCTCACGACACGTGTATTTTTATTCTTCGCATTCAATAAAAAACATTATGAAGTAGCTGCCCAAAAATCCAAGATACGGAAACCTACTATATATTTATATATTAACTAGCGATAATTCGAAATTTCGAGACTATGATTAGTTGGCATTTTTTAACCCTTTTTAAATTAAAAAAACTTGACCTGGCTGCACCTAACCCCTGTAGGGTTAGTCCTAACCCTATACTCACCCTTTTTACACCACTTTTCTTTAACTTCACTTCTTGTCTGTTTGTTTGTTTGTCTGTCTGCTACAAATCTTATAATAAATATTTAACACACTTCTACCTGTCCAATTGATCTAAAATTTTGCACACTTGCGTAAAGTTGAAGACAATGCATGAATCAATTAACAGAATACATAATTTTTAAATTAAAATTTTTTTTTTAATTTGAAAAATTGGAAAAATAATTTTTTCTTCTACAAATCTTATAATCGATATTCAACACACTTCTACCTGTCCAATCAATCTGAAATTTCGCACACTTGTGCAAAGTTGAAGACAAGGCATGAATCAATTGACAGAATAAATAATTTTAAAAATGTAATTTTTTATATTTATATTAAAAAAATAAAAATTAATTTTTATTAATATATGAAAATGAATTAGAAATTCATTGTAGATGAGTAACATAGGAGACACTGTATTCTTTAGAAGTGATGACTTTAAAAAGTAATTTTTAAACGCATATTATTACTACCCTAACCCTAACCTAACGAGGTTAGCGTAAAAAGCATGTCGCGCAATTGCATATATATCTTTGCTGTCGCACAGCTGTATATAAACTAATCACCGAGAATATAGTACCACGCACGCAATATTGTCGCACAATTACACCGCATCGCGGAATTTCATCAAAAACGTGGCACTATTACCTAACTTATGCAGGATATTTGATTTTGGGTTGTTTCGTTTTTTAGAGTTCGTTGTCCAGTGTTTGTCCAAGCTCACGAATATGTCGTGGTGGATGATGTTAGTTAGTGCCTTGTGTAGTTTCAGTTTTTCACGTCTTAGGCAGCCGAACACTTTGTGAGAGTCTACGTCTTCCACCGGAAACTTTAGTCCGTAATACTTCTTTCTCCGTTCGTCGTCTAACCAAAATATAGGTGTAACTAAAGGGATTTGGTTCGGGTCTGTGGAGCTCTTAAATATTTTGACGGGNGGCAGTTCACCCAGTTCATCTCTGAGCAGTGAAAAGATAACAAACTTATCAATGAATTCAATTCCTCCCGAACGAATTTTTGACATCAAAATGAAGATAACCGACGCATGGCCGGTCCAAACACGTCTGAATCTAATGCAAAATAATATGAAGGAATTACAAACTGAGTCTGCGGGAATTGTCGAACATGAGGTGAACAAAGCGAGACAGGTCAACCTCAGTGTCTAGACATAGAAGTTTTTTCTAGGTTTATATCATTAGCCACTATGCGTCATATTGCTTATTTTTTGTGATTTTACAAAACTTCTACATAGAAATGAAATGTTTTAGTTTGATTAGAGTTTGTTCGACATAATTCAACTAGAAACAGCATTCGTGAAGTTCATGAAATGCACTCTCTATCATATTGTCTGTAATCTTCATCGGCATGCTAATTAATTACTAATTTATCGTTAAAGAAAATGTTTGCTGAGAGAAGGAAGCAGCTGCAGCAGGGCTGTGACAAGTACCGCAACCAGGCGTCTTATGGCGGCGTTCAAGAAGCTATCATACGAGTAACTCAGATGCGTTGGATCAACCGGGAAAACCTCATAGTGTGCTTGCTTGCCAAGGTTTGACTTCGGTTACGACTAAGATTTTTCGCTGACTAATTAAATTTCCTTCAATTGACTAAGCGTGGAAATTGGTCAATCAATTAGGTTTATTTGGCTTTTATTGAGATTTAAATTGGCAGGACTTGAGTAATCAATCAACCTTTGGTTTTTCAATCGAACTTCAAATTAAAAAGAAGGGTATGTAGAGTAAAAATGATTACTTCTACATTTGCTTATTCGCTACAAGTAAATGCATGTCATTTTTGCGCAGATATTCGTTAGTTATTTTTTCCAGAATTTCGAGATCAAGTCATTGTGATAAAAAATTCTGTTACCAAAAAAAAGTATATGTCAATCATAATTCAGTATTTCTGTGCCCTATGCTCAGGTTGGCTCGTCCTCGTGGTGCCATTACCTTCTGAGTCATCACTATAACGGAACGTATCCAAGTCAAATACGAAAAAACTCTCACGCACTTGCACGTGATGTGTTGGTTCCGCAGCCTGGCCTCACAGGGCAAGTGATGCTCAATGTAACTTGAATCAATGAAACTTGTAATTTATGATGTTCAACGTATATTTGTAATTTAGACAGGTTTGCGGAAAATATAAATTTGCAAGTTTTACCCGAGTATGAAACATTCTCTAGCTTGTGTGAATAAATGAAATTTTCTGAAAAATGCTTTTAATTTATTTAATGAAACTGTCTGGCATCTTGGATAAGTCTATTTGGTATAATATAGGATTATTTGATGTATAATAGGGCTTTAAAGTGGTTGAACTAAATAATTAGCTTAGTAATTTCAATGCTTAACATTTTGTTCGCGTATTATTACGAGTTCTCAAAGGTTGAATGATCATGTACCCAGTGAAGAAATGTTGCAACAACTCACCAGCTTTACGAAGGTCCTTACTGTTCGTCATCCTTTTGCGCGGCTGGTGTCTGCCTTCCAAAGTAAAGTGGTGGCTTGGGCTGAGAGGTAATATACTGTAATTATGTTAAATTTTTAGACCCTTCTTAGCATAAGACTCTACTCGTTCACTGATAAAAATTAAACCTTTTCCATACCCAGAAAATAATTGCTCCTTCTCAGAGCAATAGCTACATTGTCTTCTCCGCACATTTGTTCCGATCATTCCCAGCAGGCATTCGGAGGTTGAATCATCGTTGAAACAACTGCCTTTGCGATATCAAGATCGGGTTGAAAAGAGGTATAAAATGACAATTGAAGCAACGTCGCTCATGAAACATCGTACGGACGTTACAATGCAACGTTAAATCAATGTTGCTACTACGTAGTTGCTGCAACATAAATTCTCTGTTTGAATATACGTTGAAGAACCAACATTTTCTTCGTCCGTGGCAGGAGTCGAACCCGGGATCGCTGAAGACCGCGCTACGTCTTAGCAACCTTGACCACGGTAGCTCGTGTGCATTATTAATAAATAAATTTATATATATTAAAAAAATTAAATTTTTAATTTTCGAAAATTAGATGAGAAATTCATTGATTGGAGATACTGGATTCTTTGGAAGTGTTGTCTTTAAAAAGTAATTTTTAAACCTATATTATTTAAAAGTTCAGTCAATGTTGATTTCAGGTTGAAATGCTCAGCGACCAAAATTAGACGTCCGATCAACGTCGAAATTTGACCAGAACTAGAAAGGACGTAAAACAACCTTATTTAAACGTTGAAAAATGGAAATTGAAAAATAATATACGTTGAATGTTTAGCTATTTACCGGCATGGAACTAATGTTATCACACCAACATTGAATGATATACACATATGTATATAAGTGTACCATTATTGACCAGAGAATGCACTTCAATTTTCAAGTAGTCGAACATTTTGGTTCTTCAACGTCGATTCAACCAGAGAATTTGACGTTGCAGCAACGTCGTAGTAGCAACAGTGATTCAACGTTGCATTGTAACGTCAATACGTCGTTTCATGACAGACGTTGCTTTAATTTTCATTCTAACCCTCTTTTCACCGCCCTCTCAACGTTGTAATAGGTAGTTGTTTCAAAGTCGATTCAACCAGAGAACTCAACATTGCAGCAACGTCGTAGTAGCAACATTGATTCAACGTTGCATTGTCACGTCAGTACGACGTTACATGAAAGATGTTGCGTCAATTTTCATTCTAAACCTCCTTTCACTCCAATCTCAATGTCGCAATAGGTAGTTGATTCAACGTTGATTATACTACCGAATGCCTGCAGGAAATGGCTAAACATCAAACGTCCCTACATCGACGTTATTTCAACGTTAAAATACGATTGTCCAATGTCCTTTCTAGTTTTGGTCAGATTTCGATGTTGATCGGGTGTTTAACTTTGTTTTTTTAGAACTTCAACCTGAAATTAACTTTGACTAAACGTTTAAAAATAAATAAACATTCAACGTACCAATATTGACGTTATTTCAACGTTGAAATAAAGTTGTTTTACATCCTGATTGTCCGGAAGTGTTGAAGGCAACGTTCCGGAAGGCAGGAATCATGATGGGCCATTACATCCACGGCAGTGGTGGTCTTCGGCAGGCGACCCGCTCCAACCTTCCAGCCACGACCTTCTCAAACTCCTTGATTACTTGTGATTTTAATGTAACCGGCCTGTGATTTTGGGGTTTGTCTGTCGCCCTTCTCTGTAGATAGGAGTTATAAGGCTCAAATTTTACTCTGTCTGGGGATGTCGTGCATCTGTGGGAGTTGTAAAGTAGGGACCTATGTGAGTGCATTTCTTTTAATTGAAGTGACCGTATCTGGAGTTTCCTAGAGTGGGGTCGTTGGCGTTTAGATCGGCTAAGAGCTATACTGGGTGCGCGGGTTGTTCGTGGTTTAATAGTAATCAGGTCCTCGCTGGGTGTCCATTGTTACTGCCAGCATATCAGAGTGGAATTTATCGTGTAGCTTGTAGGGAATACATCATCCGCACATACAGTATGACTCTTGATTGTGATTGCGGCACCGACGTGTTGGGATTAGTTTTTGTTGCTAAAGCATGAATGGTAGTTGAAGATTTTCAAGGAGGCGTTATCAGTGAGCAGTGATCGTTCAGTAAAATGATATCAGGATCGATGTTGTATAGAAAACAAAATTAGTTATTGTAGGTGTTGGATAACGCTAAATGTTTGATAGTCCAGGTTTGAAAGCTGTATTGGATAATTTGTATTGAACGTTGTGGTGTAATGTTGCTGGATGTTTTGTAGTGGACGCTTTTGTTTTCTTGTAGGTGGATATTGTGCTTGTAGTGTGACGGCTCATGGCCTTGAAAACGTCGTGAGGGAATTATGTTGTCTATCTAGGATAAGTTTGTTTCGTCTCAATAGGTGGAAGGTTAATGCTGAGCATCTGTCTCGCACCGAGAGCTATGGACCGAGGGTTCTTTTAAACCTTATATATAGAATAGAGGGTTCTTTTTCAACTCTACAAAACCATATATTGCGAGGTGCTACTGGAATCGGAGTATGATCTTAGTCGCTTCTGAAGAGTTAAAAATTTGAATTGGCTTAGTAAATCAGGGTGCGATGATGGTTGTATCCTGATAGTTTGTATCCTTCTTGGGCCGTTATTGGTGTATGTAGAGTTTCTCCTAAAAGTCGCCTTCGCCATCTACTACCTATTGAGTCTAATCTAGTGTAGATCTTCTGTGGCCCAATAAAAAATGTGAGGATGGTTTTGTAAGGAAATGTTTGTAATGGTTGTGGTCATGGTTGTAAGAAATGTTTAGATTTTGCCGGGATCTTGGCCGAGGATAGTAGCGTCAATGTGAAGCTTTGCTTATAGAGATTTTCAGAGCATTGAGCAGAACCCCTCTTGGCGAGGCTGTCGATGTGGGCTTTCAGGATGATAACAGCAAATTTGATTTACAAAGAGTTGTTGAGGGTAATGTTTTGTTGTGGTATGTTCGTTTGCTTTGTTGCGTGTTTGACCATTTCGACATACGTGTTTTTTAGATTATTTGTCCTGCATGTTTTTCTGTTTGTCTAGAATTATTTTTCCTATAAGTGCAGTTGTCGGCAGGTGTTCTGTAATCGAGGTCGCAATTCAAACATTTCTCGAGGACGTTGGGGCACTGCGTGTAGACGTTGTCGCGGATTTTGCACTCTGAGCAGGAAGGTGTGGTGACGGTGCACTGGTGGGTATAATAGTCCTCGAATTTTCGATGTTTGTTTTATATCAGGATGTGGGTGGAATTTTCTTGCTCACACTGGCTGGGTGATACGGGCGATGAACACGACAAAGCCTTCGTTTAAGATTTGTTGGGCGATTGTTGCGTCTGTTGTTATCATTTCGATGATGTGGGTGTAGTCCTTAATTTTACCTATTTCATGTATGAGATCCAGTTCTGTAGTCGCGTAATTTCGTCTTCGATTTTGGTCTGGGTTAGTCTGATAATATCTCGGTCGAGCTGTCTTACAAATGACTGGTGCTTTTGTCTTAAATTGATTGATGCCAAGTAATTTTTTTCTAAAGCGTCAGTTGCTTCTTTGAGGAAGTCGGCCTTTTGCGCTATGATGTCAGTAACGGCGTAAAAACCTGTGGCGGTGCCGGATAAGTGTAGCGTTTAGCTTTTCAAAGGTGGTCTGGAAGATTTTTGAGCTGTCAGGAGTGAGTCTTGGGTCGATTCTTTTCAGTTGAATTCTGTAGGTGTGCGGTCTTGAGCGGGTGAGTTTAGGCGATATTTAAGTGGCATAGATTGGACGAGATGAAGATGAATAGGGATGTTTTTAGACAGAAGGGTTAGTCTTGGTGGTGATTGGAGTGACTCAGAGCCCCGGGCTCTATGGGACAAGCCCTTGAAGCCCGGGAACTGGGCTCCTCCGCGCTCAGGAAGAGGGCACGAGGTGAGTAGCACACTAGATCTTGGCCAATGGGGGTACAATGGCAAATCTATACATTAAGAAAGGAAGATTTAGAGACAAAAGAGGACAAGTCACAAGAACCTAGTAGATCGGTTTTACTTTGGAATGTGGCTAGTTCCGATCACTGGCCCAGAGTATGTCACACAAGCACAGCTCATCTAAGTGATCACGAGATAACATCATCCACTACGGCCTAACCTTTTCTGGATAAGCCATTTTGCTGAACCGACTCATAACTTTCTTGCAGCCATTGACTGGCTCTACCAGTTCATTTAGCTTTTCTCATACTTCCTGCAGCCAATAATGTTAGGTTTAAGTCTGCTCAGGTTGGTATTCTGTGAATAAAATGTTGCTGCGTGAATAGGGTAGATCGGAAGAGATAAACACGATATAGGTTAGGCCAGACGTATTGTGACCATGCTTAACTTGAGCATGCTTGCGGTTGCTGTGTCTATAGGGCGCTTTGGCTTTAAGCAATTGACTTCATAGGCTAATATGCCCTTTCCCATTGTTATGCACGGAAAGGAATATGAACTAGAGTGAAGTTGTGCAAAGTCGGCCTTTAGAATGCGCCCCACCGCAACTTTCCCGCATCTTGCACAGCACTTTTTGTTCAACTATTTGTCTCTGGGGGTTTATTTAACAAAGTAGATAGGAGCTAATTCGCTGCCCAGCACTATAAATTCAGTGTTTGCTTGAGGTGCAGCTCAGTAACCCGCCTGACGTTGTATGAGGAGGTGTGCATGTAGTCGCTCCCACTATCCTTGAGTGGAATCAAGCTCCAGAAACGTTTAGTTTCGAATCCTTGCTACATTGAGTGCCTATTGCAATGCGGGCGAGACTTTGTCGCGCTCTCCTGAACATTCACAGTTATTGTCACGGAAAAACTATCTCCTCCTATAGTTTTGAAGCTACAGCGATGAGACATATGCCATTCGATTTGTAAAGACCATACCTATCGAGTAACGAAGCCCTTTTTTAGAATTGTGCATAGTTTAGATTAAAAATGGGGGAGGGGGGAAATTTGAAGAAAATTAGAAGAAAACGGAAAAATGCGTGTAAAAAACTAAGGCAAAAATAAAAAATCGGGCTTCATTACTCGATTGGTATGGTTTTTACGCATCGAATGATATGCGTCTCAATGTTGTAACTTAAAAACCCTAGGAGGAGATAGATTTCTACAGTACCCCCTTTTTTGTCCGTTCTCTATGAATTTCACGTTTTCTATTAATTTTTCCGAAAAAATCATTCGAACAAAATTTTCTTGTATTTTGGTTCTACATATATGTGTGGAGTTTCAGAAAGATCCGTTAGTAAATGTGGAACTTTTTCTGAAGGATATCCCCCCCCTTATGCGCTACCAGCACTTGTCAAATTTAGTCGTGACGCCGTCCAATGACGTATAACGTTAAGTTCCATGTAATTCATTATCGTAATAGGAGCCGTAACTATTTATTCATATATCGTTCCATTTTTTATGATCAACTTAAAATAATTTCATTCGCAGGCCGAACCGTGACGAACCTTTGCTTTCTGTTTATACGCTGCAGATTTACATTAAATCTTGACTGTTCTCTTTACAAATTTAACCTTTAGATTAGTTAGACGCAAAAACTAACTTTCCTTTTATTTACCCACTAAAAACGGTTTTTCAGCGGTCACAAACCATTTAAACCAATCATAGCCATTAATTGTAGCATGAAAGAATTCAACGCTTTAAAATGCTGAACAAAATAAAGAAAAAAACTATGACAACACGTGGGAAGAATGTTAAAAACCGGTTTCAAATCGAATTTTTTCGCATCACTGGGCACGATGATTGTATAAATACCACGGCAGACCACTAGAAAGGCTTGGCACTAGAAAGTCGCCAGCTCTCGCACGTTTAATGCCCTAAATTACTCATATTAGATGGCCATTTATGGCATTACTCCAACAACCTAATATTGATAAATCCTCCGCATAATTGTTAGGAAAAAGCCTTCATAAAATTTTATGCTCAACATTAATGATTAAACTTTTTTTAATTTTTCTGATAAACCTATAAGCTTGCCAAGAATTCAGTCTTGCTCGTAGGCTCAGGCATTGCTGGAGTTTTCGCAGTCTTTATGTTTTCATTCTCATTTTCAAAAATGTTCATTAACACCAGTCCGATTTAGCTGAAATATTTTTTTAGTTCAGTTCATAAATATGATGGCTCGTCATATATACATACACGAATAACTGACAAAGAAAAAATCTTATTTACAATGGGCGTGCCTGGTAATTTCTAGAGCACCGTCACTCAACAATTACACTGTTTCCTCACATGACTAGACAAGATCAATAGTATTAGCCGATTGTATTAGCTGCAAGGGCTTTTCATTTCGTCTATTGTTGTCGACCAGAAATAATCTTTCTCCCCCATTCCTGATTCTCTGAAGATCACAGTTAAAATACGGATCACGCAGTATGCAACCTCCACATAGACTTAGTCCGGCAAAGTTCCTGTATATGCTCGTTGGGATAAGTATGGTTGCATTGCTTTACAAGGTAAGGTCATTTTAAATGTGGCTCATATTTTGTTAATATTAAAATTAAATTTGTCTATTTTCCCTAAAAACGAATAGCAACTGAAGGCGCTGTAGCCTAGTGCGGCATTCGTTACCATATGGATGTTTCACCTTTTACTATTGGAGAATAAATGAAATTTAAGGNGACGGTCCCCTTAAGAAGTATTTACTAAATGTTGAACAATTTGAACAACTATAATCATCGGTATGAGCATCAATAGGCAGCTGACGTTAGTGAAAGTGAGTTAAATCACAAATCATAAATATTTTCTTACTAAAAGTTCATAAGTGAAAAAAGAATAAAACAATGAGGTGCGCATAAGCAAATGGTACCTAAAATTGACCAATTTTCCAGGTGAACCAAGTGGGACTTCAGATTCCAACCTATCTTCTGCCGCTTACAATCCAAGGCAGTTCACCAAGTTCATCTCTGAGCAGTGAAAAGATAACAAACTTATCAATGAATTCAATTCCTCCCGAACGAATTTTTGACATCAAAATGCCGACAACCGAAGCATGGCCGGTCCAAACACGTCTGAATCTAATGCAAAATAATATGAAGGAATTACAAACTGAGTCTGCGGGAATTATCGAACATGAGGTGAACAAAGCGAGACAGGTCAACTCCTGTGCATTAAAGTTTTCATAGATGTTTTTTCTAGGTTTATATCATTAGCCACTATGCGTCATATTAGTTCATTTTTGTGATTTTACAAAACCACTACATAGAAATGAAATGTTTTAGTCTGATTAGAGTTTGTTCGACATAATTCAAGTAGAAACAGCATTCGTGAAGTTCGTGAAATGCACTCTTTATTATATATTGTCTGTAATCTTCATCGGCATGCTAATTAATTAATAATTTATCGTTAAAGAAAATGTTTGCTGAGAGAAGGAAGCAGCTGCAGCAGGGCTGTGACAAGTACCGCAACCAGGCGTCTTATGGCGGCGTTCAAGAAGCTATCTTACGAGTAACTGAGATGCGTTGGATCAACCGGGAAAACCTCATAGTGTGCTTGCTTGCCAAGGTTTGACTTCGGTTACGACTAAGATTTTTCGCTGACTAAATAAATTTCCTTCAATTGACAACAGCGTAGAAATTGGTAAATAAATTAGGTTTATTTGGCTTTTATTGAGATTTAATTTGGCAGGACTTGAGTAATCAATCAATCGTTGGTTTTTCAATCGAACTTCAAATTAAAAACAAGTGTATGTAGCAGGGTTGGCAATGATTAAATCAAAATGACTAAATCACTTGATTTTTTATAAAAAAAATCATGATTTTTTAGATTTTTTCGATTTTTTGATTTTTTTTATTTTTTTCATATATTTAAATATATTGAGTGGCAGTCTTTAATTTATATTGAGGTATTGTTATTCATGGTGTTGTATAAATGTACTATGAATGACAAATTGGTATATAAACTTGTTGCCTTTAGTGTGTATTAGGTTCCAATAAATTGAATGTTTTTGGTACAGAGGCATCAAGTGTGGAATACATTGTACGTAGCTAGCAGCTTAGCTAACTCTTATAAGGCTATAAGTAGTCTTTGACTATTTGACTATTTGTTATATATTGATTACAATATACGTACAATTTCAATGTGTTAGCTAGCTTATACAGGGTGGGGCAGAACTGAATGAATAGTTTTGAGGCGAAATAAAAGAGTAATGGAGGTACATAAAGAAGAAAGTTTATTTTCCTCTCAATTAGCATAACATACCATTTAAAATACTTATGTTTTGAAAAAAATATCAGGAAGATGGGGTTTGTTAGATGCATCACACTGNTAGCTTAGTAATTTCAATGCTTAACATTTTGTTCGCGTATCATTACGAGTTCTCAAAGGTTGAATGATCATGTACCCAGTGAAGAAATGTTGCAACAACTCACCAGCTTTACGAAGATCCTTACTGTTCGTCATCCTTTTGCGCGGCTGGTGTCTGCCTTCCAAAGTAAGGTGGTGGCTTGGGCTGAGAGGTAATATACTGTAATTATGTTGAATTTTTAGACCCTTCTTGGCATAAGACTCTACTCCTTCAGTGATAGAAATTGAACCTTTTCCATACCCAGAAAATAATTGCTCCTTCTCAGAGCAATAGCTACATTGTCTTTTCCGTACATTTGTTCCGATCATTCCCAGCAGGCATTCGCAGGTTGAATCATCGTTGAAGCAACTGCCTATTGCGATATCAAGATAGGGTTGAAAAGAGGTTTAAAATGAAAATTGAAGCAACGTCGCTCATGAAACGTCGTACGGACGTTAAAATGCAACGTTGTATCAATGTTGCTACTACGAAGTTGCTGTTGCAACATAAATTCTCTGTTTGAATAAACGTTGAAGAACCAGCATTTTCTTCGCCCTTGGCAGGAGTCGAACCCGGGATCGCTGAAGACCGCGCGACGCCTTAGCAACCTTGACCACGGTAGCTCGTGCGCATTAGCAATAGAAATAAGCTAAAGAATTGTTCGACTCCTTGAAAATTGGAACGTATTCTCTGGTCATTATTCGTACACTAATATATATTTATGTATTTGTATATAATACAATGTTGGTGTGATAACATTAGTTCCATGCTGGTAACCCAGCAGGCATCTGACGTTGAAACAACTTTGATTATTGGTTTATTAAAGGTTGAAATGTTGAACAACCAAATTAAACGTCATATCAACGTCGAAATCTGAACAACAGTGGAAGGGACGTAAAACAACCTTATTTCAACGTTGAAATAAGGTCGATATTGGTACGTTGAATTTTTACTAATTTTTAAACGTTGAATCCATGTCGATTTCAGGTTGAATGGCTGATCAACCCAAGCTAAACGTTCAATCAACGTCGAAATCTGACCACAACTAGAACGGACGTAAAGCAACCTTATTTCAACGTTGAAACAACGTCGATATTGGTACCTAAGTTGAATCTTAATTTATTTTTTAAAGTTCAGTCAATGTTGATTTCAGGTTGAAATGCTGAACGACCAAAATTAAACGTCCGATCAACGTCGAAATTTGATCAGAACTAGAAAGGACATAAAACTACCTTATTTCAACGTTGAAAAATGGAAATGGAAGAATGATATGCGTTGAATGTTTAACTATTTACCGGCATGGAACTAATGTTATCACACCAACATTGAATGACATACACATATATAAGTTTACTATTAATGACCAGAGAACGCACTTCAATTTTCGAGTAGTCGAACAATTTTTTAGCTTATTTCTATTGCTCATGCACGCGAGCTACCGTGGTCTAGGTTGCTATAAGGCGTTGCGCGGTCTCCAGCGATCCCGGGTTCGAATCCTGCTATGGACAAAAAACATGTTGGTTCTTCAACGTCGATTCAACCAGAGAATTTGACGTTGCAGCAACGTCGTAGTAGCAACAGTGATTCAACGTTGCATTGTAACGTCAGTACGACGTTTCATGAAAGACGTAGCTTTAATTTTCATGTTAACCCTCTTTTCATACGTCGATTCAACCAGAGAATTTGACGTTGCAGCAACGTCGTAGTAGCAACAGTGATTCAACGTTGCATTGTAACGTCAGTACGACGTTTCATGACAGACTTTGCTTTAATTTTCATTCTAACCCTCTTTTCACCGCCCTCTCAACGTTGTAATAGGTAGTTGTTTCAACGTCGATTCAACCAGAGAACTCAACGTTGCAGCAACGTCGTAGTAGCAACATTGATTCAACGTTGCATTGTAACGTCAGTACGACGTTACATGAAAGATATTGCGTCAATTTTCATTCTAATCCTCCTTTCACCTCAATCTCAATGTCGTAATAGGTAGTTGATTAAACGTTGATTATACTACCGAATGCCTGCAGGAAATATATAGCTAAACATTAAACGTTCCTACATCGACGTTATTTCAGCGTTAAAATAAGGTTGTCCAATGTCCTTTCTAGTTTTGGTCAGATTTCGATGTTGATCGGGCGTTTAATTTTGTTTTTTTAGAACTTCAACCTGAAATTAACTTTGACTAAACGTTTAAAAATAAATAAACATTCAACGTACCAATATTGACGTTATTTAAACGTTGAAATAAAGTTGTTTTAATAAATAATAAAGTTGTTCTAGTTTTGGCCAGATTTCGACGTTGATTGAACGTTTGATTTGGGTTGTTCAGCATTTCAACCTGAAATCATCATTGATTCAACGTTTAAAAATTAGCAAACATTCAACGCACCAATATAGAAGTTAATTCAATATTGAAATAAGATCGTTTTACGTCTCTTCTAGTGTTGTTGATCAGATTTCTACGTTGATATGACGTTTAATTTTGGTTTTTCAACATTTCAACCTGAAATAAACCAATAATCAACGTTGTTTCAACGTTAGATGCCTGCTGGGATTATACCATTCACCTTACTTCGCTATCAATGTGTGTATGTCTATATCTTCCGTCCCTGGTATGCATAGCATATCTAAAACAATTACAAGTCAATACACTGGTCTAAAATTTCTCGTATTTATTTAATATTAGGCTAGAACTTGATAAACTTCTAGAAGTCAAACAAAAGGATGCCGTTTCATGAATTTCTTTTGCTGCGGATGGCAAGCGTTAGAAGTGATATAAAGCCCATTTATTTTTTACCAGGAAAAGGAACAAACTTCCGTTGCCGCCGAAGCCACTTTTCAAGGACTTTGCGGAGTACCTGATAGAAACTGCAAAGGTCCCTATCATGGCTGTCCCTGAAGCGTACGATTCGTTCAACAACCACTGGCGACCGTTCTTCCTTGTATGCGGTGTGTGTGACTTGAGCTACGAATACATCGTCAAAATGGAAACTTGGAGCGATGACCTAAGGTAAGTCGAGACCAAAGAAAAAGTTTTCATCCAGATTCTGAAGTGGATGGTGGACAGCAAACCATATGTTAACGCAATCGAATTTATCTAAAATAATCTCATTTATGATGAGGGTCTCGAACAGAGATAGAATAGTTTCCTAGTCAAACCTTGCTCTAAAATTAATTATAACCTCTGAAGCCACAAAACTTATATTTTCGAATAATTTTGCAAGTTGATTTGTCATGCAAAGAGTAATCAACAACGGTATTTCTATTGACAGGCAACAATATAAATGTGGTTACCTGCCTACACAACGATCATTTTTCTGCCTTATCGCTTCTTCAATTTAGCCACTTGTGAAAATTCCGTATCAATATTTTGAAGCTGGTTACCATAGGAAATGCCTTCGACACTACAATTGAGTAGATAAAGAATGAGTTAACACTGATAAACGCTGCTTGTCAGGTACCTTCTACCAAAGTTCTACATTAAATTTGGATGTTGCCAGTTACCGGCTACCTAAAATCTATTTTGAATTTTGATGTTGTCATGCACTTACTACCTAAATTCAACATTGAATATTGATGTTGCCAGATAACAGCTACCTAAATTCCTCATTGAATTTGAATTTTGCCAGGTACCTGCTGCCCAAATTTCACATCGAATTCGAGGACCAGTCGTACGGCGATATTTTGAACTCGACCGCTATATACTTCGAATACTTCAAGGTGAGACACAACTTTATCGTGGGATGATCTTATCACCAGTTATAATTTAAAAATTATTGGTTTATTCGATAATATATATTCATTAACGGGAAGTTGTACAGGTGCGAGTATTGCATAAGGCCAAAGAATGTAAGTCTTCTAACTTACTACTTTTCATGGCGAAGCATATAGTGTGTGCTTGTAACTGAATGCTATAAGTGTATAAGTGTATCATTACTACTAAAGTTTATAAGGGGTTACCACTGACTCAAAGGACGTTAGGTCGTCTACGAGCTCAATAGGGTAACATGGGGCAGCGGGCCCACCCTTTTCTAAACTAATTTTTTTAAGTTTTAATTGATACGAGGTATTTTTTTGTTTTGTTTAAAATAACAAATAATGAGGAATATATGATGTGAATTAAATGCCTATAGAGTTAGTCAATTTTTAATGAAATACTATTCTGTAAAAAGTATCAAAATGGGCCCATTGTCCCACCCCTGGGGCAATGGGCCCCATGGTCNCACAATTCCACATTTTTTGTTTAAAAATAATAAAAGAACACTTTACAGTTCAAAATAAGAAAAATGTAAAAATATCACATTCAGTCATTTATTAACAATATAAAATATCGTATCTTAAACTTAAATAATATATTATTTTCATGGCTTAAAAATCTATCACTGACGTGAAAAAAATATTTCCCTGACATAAAAATATATAATAATAATAGCGGTTTCAGCGTTTATTAGGCCATAGGCCTGTCGCCGATTCTTAACATCGCAGAACATCCACAGCTTGTTGTGGTCTCGAACTCACAACTCACTGATTCAAATCCTGCTGTGCTTAACCGCCCGGCCTCCTCGCCGATTCTGACCAGAAACTGGCGCACAGAGCTGGGATCGTAGAGTTAGTCAATTTTTAATGAAATACTATTCTGTAAAAAGTATCAAAATGGGCCCATTGTCCCACCCCTGGGGCAATGAGCCCATGGTCTTGGGGCAAGGCGCCCACCCCTGGTCACTCTACCACAATTCCACATTTTTTGTTTAAAAATAATAAAAGAACACTTTACAGTTCAAAATAAGAAAAATGTAAAAATATCACATTCAGTCATTTATTAACAATATAAAAAATCGTATCTTAAACTTAAAAAATATATTATTTTCATGGCTTAAAAATCTATCACTGACGTGAAAAAAATAATTTCTTGACATAAAAATATATATCGTTGACTTGATAAATATATCACAGCCATAAGAAATTCATCTTTGACATGAAAAAAAGTATCCTTGACTAGAAAAAATATACATACTTGACCAGAAAAAAATTAATTCCAGTTTCGTCCATAATCTATGTATGATGTGCAGGGAATTCGTACTTAATCGTGATTTCAGCCAATACCATAAAAACTCGTCAACTTTTGGCCATTGGTGTTGGCTGAAATCAACTTTTGGCAAGGCAAGAGTCAATAACTCGGTAAGAGGTCATGAATACGCATAACTAGAAACTAGAACCTGCTGCCTTGAGGCGGCAAATAAAAAAATCATGCAATATGATGAGTAATTTGTAATTCAAAAAGCTAGTCTTTGTTTTGAAGAGCTCATTGAGACAAATCTAATGATGTATAGCCCAAGACTTCACAGAGGGACATTGAGCCCACCATGGGCGCTTTGCCACGTGACACGCATGGGCCCGTTGCCCCTCTAGGTATCATTTCAATTTATCCCGTGTCAACATTTTATTTAAAAGCTAATAGTCTAAACTTGAACCCAAAATTATCCCTATAAACAATACTTTCGGAATATTATTCACATTACTTTCAAAAGATTCATATAGAATAATCGAAAACAATTTTATTTAGCAGCATAAAAACTTTTATTTCAGCAAAAACAGTTATTTGCAAGTAACTTAACAACGCAAACTCTTAGCAAAACGTAGAGACACACACTTTAGCCCAGTGAAACTTTCGAACGGCGGTAGAGCGCACGGACCAATATCTGCCATACATAGCGAGAAACCCGCTATGGGCCCGTGACCCGCAGTGTTCCGTTTGCCCCATGTTACCCTACTGTATTAAACTTTGGTAGGAGTTAATCAGAAAACCTTGCCAGCTGATGATACATGAAGAGTCAATGTTGACGTTAAGCCTTCAGTGCGCCTATGTTAATATTTTCGCACTGTAAAACTTACATTTTCCAGAAATAGTTCACATATCCCGGTAAAATTTAATTTCAGTTTCACTCTAGTTACACCGACTCCTGTTTGCAGACGCTGCCAGAGTCGCTCATCCTACAACTCTACGAGATCTACAAGATTGACTTCGAATTATTCGGATATTCAATGGATGGATATTTGTAATAATATGTAAAGTTTGATATTGGCATTTGATACACATTTTATTATGTTAGCAATGATAAGCATTTGATGAATTTGCAATGATTGGCATGTGAAAACATTTACAATGATATCGCTTTTATTATATATGAGAAGATTTAGACTTGGTAATATTCTTAATGATATGCATCGGATAATATTTGCTATGATTGGAGTTTGATGATATACTCTTTAAATACATGGAGGTAATCCAATAAAATTTTCATAAATTGGACAAAGGGTTCTCCAAAATATCTTAATTTAAGCAAAAAATGATGACGCTAATGGCTACATTCATTATTTTCACAGTGAAAGATACCTAGCTAATTTTCCGTCCGTAGTGAAACAGATTATCGATTACTAACTAGTGAACACCGATTAAAAATAAGATTTCGAGAGAAACAGAAAAAAACGAATTCAAAATATGAATGACATTGTCGACTGTCGTTAATCGAAAGATTTTCGTTGATTTTCGAATCAAAATCAACATATCGAAAATAAGAGGGTTTTTCAACCCAACACTTTTTTATCCGCCTGGGATAAACTGCAAAAATCAAGAAAATTATGAACTGATTTTACAGAATATTTTGCTCTATAGGCATATTTCTGCATAGACACATGAAGAAGCGATTTCGCGCTCACGACACGTGTATTTTTATTCTTCGCATTCAATAAAAAACATTATGAAGTAGCTGCCCAAAAATCCAAGATACGGAAACCTACTATATATTTATATATTTACTAGCGATAATTCGAAATTTCGAGACTATGATTAGTTGGCATTTCTAAACCCTATTTAAATAAAAAAACTTGACCTGATAGGGTTAGTCCTAACCCTATACTCACCCGTTTTACTACCCTAACCCTAATCCTAACCTAACAAGGTTAGCGTAAAAAAGCATGTTGCGCAATTGCATATATATCTTTGCTGTCGCACAGCTGTATATAAACTAATCACCGAGAATATAGTGCCACCCACGCAATTTTGTCGCACAATCACACTGCATCGCGGAATTTCATCAAAAACGTGGCACTATTACCTAACTTACGCAGGATGTTTGATTTTGGGTTGTTTCGTTTTTTTAGAGTTCGTTGTCCAGTGTTTGTCCAAGCTCACGAATATGTCGTGGTGGATGATGTTAGTTAGTGCCTTATGTAGTTTCAGTTTTTCACGTCTTAGGCAGCCGAACACTTTGGGAGAGTCTACGTCTTTCACCGGAAACTCTAGTCCGTAATACTTCTTTCTCAGTTCGTCGTCGAACCAAAATATAGGTGTAACTAAAGGGATTTGGGTCGGGTCTGTAGAGCTCTTAAATATTTTGACGGGCATTGGTTTGTCTAGTCTTGATCCAGTAAGGTATGGTTTTCTAAACTGTCCGTCGCTGATTTTTTTCTGTGGTTTCTGTCTTCTTTTTGACTAAGGGATACCGAGGCTGGGTTCATACTTGGGGTTTCGTAGCAAGTTTTGTCCTACACTGGTTCAATTATGTTCGTCTTAGGTCATTGTCATCTATAAATTTAGTCTGGAGTTTAAAGATTTAATATTTTAGCGGGGTCGCAATCAGAAAGAATCGTGTGGATGGAGTATTTCGCATGTAGTGATTTGGAGAGAATACTGCTGAACCCCTCCTGGGGGTTGAGGCTTTTAATGTGGGCTTATAGGATGAAGTTTGTCAATTTCCCTTAAATCTGGTTAGTCAGTATCGGGGTGTGTTGCAGGAGGTTTCATGCGTTGATGACTTGTTTGGTTATTTCAACGTACGTTTAGTTTCTTACTATTTAGTGTCGTTATTGGTGTTTGTTTCGTATTTTCTGCTTGCATAACGGACAGTTGGCAGATAGTGAAGTGATCATTGTGGCTTTGAGACATTTTTCGTAGGTGTCAGCGCATTTGGTGATAGGGCTATCTTTAGCGGCCTACGTAGCAAGAGGGAGTAGTGGATGTGCATTGTTGTGTAGGGTGGTTTTCTTTTTTTTTGCATTTGTAGCTCTAGAGTGTGTATTGTGTTCCTGTTTGCATTGCGAGGGTAGGATTTTTGTGTGTGTAATATCCTATCTGTGGTTTCGATTTTGTCGAATCAATGGAGCGTTAACTTCTTCGGAAGTTAATCCTGCACAATTTTCGGTCGGTATTTCGCTATAGATTCCTTTTCGGTTGGATACCGTAGGTTTGGGGTCTCAAGCGATCAAACGAGTACGGGTGAAGATGAGGGTGGGTGACGTGACGAGTTAGGCTCAGGTTTGTGACGATGCCTCTCGCCTACTGGGACAAAGGTTCGAGGCATGATCGTTGCACCCCCGGAGTAGTGGTCATGAAAATAATGGGAGGAGAGCTTTACAAAAATATTGAATATTTAATTTATGGGGAGCGTCTAGGGACAATTAACTTTATCTCGGTTATTTACAGACGGATCGATTCGAAATTTGGTACACGTATGTAAAATAGAATTCTAAGACTTGTTTTGTGTGAATTTTTCGAAAAAATGAAAGAAAACTTGAAATTCTTTGAAAACGGCCAAAAGAGGGTACTTTAGAAATCCTATCTCCTCCTAGGATTTTCAAGCTACAACATCGAGACACATATCATTCGATGCGATATCAATCTAAAAACGTCACTTGGCGGTTTTTGGAATTTCTCATTTTTGTGGGTGTGGGAGCATTTTTTCCGAATTTTTTCGAAATTTTTCGATTTTACCCCCGCCCTCCCCCACTTTTTGCAAAATAAAATCCGAACTATAACGAAATTGGAAAAACGATCAAGTGACGCTTGTAGATCTTTCCTTTCCAAATCGAATGGTATATGTTTCATTGATGTAGTTTAAAAACTGTATGAGGAAATAGGATTGCCGTGAGAGAGGTTTGCAGCTTTGGCAACTTTTCAGTAGAGGCAAAAACCCGCCGCGCGGCACGTAAAGGCACGTAACGTAGCCTAGATACCAAAAGTAAGCATCAACTCACTTCAGAGTAAGTCATCCGTGCATGGAGACACTAAATGAACACCATCCTGCGTGCGGTCTGTGGGGTTACTGAGCTCTAGCCGAGTGAAGAGCACATTTTATAGTTAATTTCCCCCTTTGGAATTACTGAAGGCCCCCCACCCCCTTCCCCCCCCTTACGGGATCGGTCGTGAACGCATAAATCAACGTACAGAGATGGTTCTAGTACCGTTCGATGCGGCAGAAAGTAAGCTTTAATATGAGCATAAGAACTGTAGAATGTCATAATTGGCCTCTTTACATCAGACGATCCCCTTTATGGTGCCCGGCTGGGTAATTTCCGCCTTAACTTTACTGAAGGGGCCCGGACATCGCAGTCAATAACGTTCATAATACCTCCGAATAACGTTCATAATACGGTATCTGTTGCGAATGCATAAATCAACGTTCAGAGATGGTTCTAGTACCGTTTGATGCGTCAGAAAGTAAGCTTTAAGATGAGCCTAAAAACCGGAAAAGCCAAAATTTCGACCTTTGGACCTAGACGCTGCCCTTAATCTAATAGTAATAGACGATGACTGTGAATTTCTGCCCCTAAGTAAGAACTGAACAGGCTTTTCTCAAGTTCCAAGAATGGATTCACGGCTGGCTCGGTCATCCATGGCTGGCCATGAACATCACACGATTCACACCTGCAGGTAAACAAACCCAAACTTGAGAATTGGTTGAATACAGTACATGGCTTATTATTATCAGTGTTCCACAAAAAATCAGCGGCCCAGTGCCAAAGGATCATCCAGTTTTGAGAAATTGGCTGGGAGCGAGGTAAACAAGGTTCTGGCCAAGAACCAAGCCTCTCCTCTGACGTCTCCGGAGCTTTAAGGAGTGTAGCTTCCAGGAGTGTAGCGCCAGCGTGCCACCGCTGCCGAGCAGGAGAACGTCGGAGCTCCAGGTAGGGGAACCACGCTCTCTTCGAGTCACCACAACGTCAGACCAAGAGGAGTGCAGGACCACGGTCGAGGTAAGATTCTGCAGGTATGCCTTCCGAGAACTGCTAGGCAAAAAACCAGTGAAGCGGGAGCACCGTGCGGTTAGAATGATGTCGGAAATCTGAACATTCTCGACAGAGAGATTATTCTTCAGATTCGGCTTGAAACCGGCCAGAAAAGTGGATTGTTACGATTAACAAATTTAAAATGAATTCCACCAGACTTTGTACAAGAGCAGGTGCTGACAGGACCCCTGCTAGACCCCGCTCCCTTCGTACAACTTTGATTTTACGTAATTTCTTACAACTTTGTACAAAGTTACGTACAACGTCTTGTCCGTATTCTTATGCAATATGTTTTGATAATACAACCGATTGGAAATACGTCTACTTAGCAGTACTTAAGCACTGTACAGGTTCTTACGTGTACATAGCGGTATTTGATGATTCGACCCATGGTGTCTGCGCCTTCCCAAACAGTCCAAGTGTGACCATCGTTGACGTGGTAGGTTAAAATCTCCCGCAACCTCATTATTCGAGGAAAGTTCATCCAGCTTGGCCACCTCTGTTTCTATTCTCTCGTGAGCTTCATTGAATTTTTCAAGCGGGTGGTCATGCGGTTGGCATAAAATAGCTATACACAGTTGTAGAAACGAAATGTATAGTATATAACGTTCAACATTTTTATTGCAGTCTGTATGCAGGGGCACTTTTTGCCAATAGAGAGTCTCTGAGGTAGATTATAACACCTTCCTTCCTGCTTCCTTCCTCTCGATCTTCTCGGTAATTTTGAAAGCCTTTCATTTCAAGTTCTCCTTTCCGGGTATCATTTCTTAGATGTGAATCGGTTAATGCAAGCATGATCATTCCTTCTGACTCATAATTTCTCTAAACGTGCCGATCTAGTGGCGTTTTCTTCCGGAGAAGTACCCTTCAATATTCGCTATCATGATACCAGACTCTTCCCTTCCAGGCGTTCCTGGTTGTTGTAACACTATTCTGCAAGGGTCTCTTGCTCAAAAGCTGTTCTATTTGCTGCTGTAATTGCTCTTGCTATTATCAACAACTTTTGCATTTGCTGTTGAATCTAATCTACTTGCCTCTGCATGACTATTCGATTCACATCGCTCTCCAAATGGTTAAGTGCTATCTGTGCGCCAAATGTCGACTTAACGTTCATCACAGAAAGTTATTACTTCAGGGGAGAGTTTTGGATCGACTGATGTTTTTCCTTTTTCTTGCCAACATACCTCCAAAAACTACAATATCGGAGCTCACTATCGCTGTTCAATATTTAACTGTTAGTGGCTGG